TTGAAAATGGAGCCACAAGTAGACAGGGTGGTGAAGATGGTTTTCAGCATGCTAGCTTTCATCAGTCAGAGCACGGAGTATGGAAGTTGGGATGTCTTGTTGCAGCTGTACAAGATGTTGCAGTTCTGGTTGGCCGATTATAAAAATGATTATTAATAAACTACAAGGTGTACAAAAAAGATTTATTGGGATGCTACCTGGGCTGGAAGGTTTGAGTTATAAGGAGAGGTTGGATAGGCTGGAACTTTTTTCCCTGGAGCACAGGAGACTGAAGGTGACTTTATAGAAGCCTATAAAATCATAAGAGGCATTGGTAAACCAACAGCTTTTCCCCAAGGTACGGGAGTCTAAAACTGGGCATAGGTTTAAGGTGAGAGGGGAGAGATACAAAAGGGTCCAGAGACACAATTTTTTCACACACAGGGTGATGTGTGTCTCAAACGGGCTGCCAGGGGTAGTGGTGGGAGCGAGTACAATTTCATCATTTGAGAAACATTTAGACAGGTATATGGATGAGATAGATATGAAAGCATATGGACCAGGAGTAGGGAAATGGGACTAGTGTAATTGTGAAAATTAAGCAGCATGGGCATGCCAGGTCAAAGGCCCTGTCTTGAAGCTGTAGAGCTCTATGACTCTATGATTCTATGATCCTATGATCCTTAGAGCAGGTGGGACTTGAACCCGGGCCTCCTGGTTCAGTGGAAGAGAATGTCCGTTGTGCCACAATGCTACAAATCATTCACACAGGTAGCCTGGTTAGGTCAAGGCCTCAAATATAAGACCATAAGAAATAGGAACAGCAGTAGGCCATTCAGCCCCATAAGTCTGCTCCACTATTCAATAGAATCATGGCTATCAGACATTCTTCACGTCCACTTTCCTGCCCTTTCCCCATAACTCTCGATTCCCCGACTGATCAAGAATCTATTTCAGCCTTAAATACACACAAGGACACTGCCCAGAGAGCTCTCTATGGCAAGGAGTTCCAAAGACTCACAACCTCAGTGAATCTTCCTCATCTCAGTCTTAAATGGGTGCCTCTTTATTCTAAGACTATACCCTCTGGTCCTAGACTCTCCCATGAGGGGAAGCATCCTCTCAGCATTTACTTTGTCAAGCCCTGTAAGAATTCAATATGTTTCAATGAGATCACTTCTCATTCTTCTAACTCCAATGAGTAGAGTCCCAACCTGTTTCACCTTTGCTCATAAGACAATCCCTCCATCCTAGTGAAACAAAACAGAAATTACTGGAGGAAATCAGTCGGTCTGGCAACACGTATGGAGAAAAAAACAGAGTTAACATTTCAGGTCCAGTGACCTTTCCTTCAGAACAGATTTCAGATTTGTGTTTCAAATCTGTTTCATATTTCCAACATCAGCAGGTCTTAGTTTTATCATACTAGTGAACCTTCTCCGAGCTACTTCTAATGAAATAATCTTTGCTTAAATAACGGGACCATAACTATTTGTTTAGATTATGCTTTTCCAAATGTTCTGCTATTACTTCCTTATAATTGATTCCAATTGATCAGCCTTTAGTTACTCACTTTTTGCCTCCCTCCCTTTTTGAATAGGAGTATCACATTGGCAGTTTTCCAAACCTCTGGTACTTTTCCAGAATCCAAGAATTTTTGAAAATTACAACCAATGCATCCACTATCTCTGTAGCTCTCTCTTTTAGGGTTCTAGGATGCAAACCATTAGGGCCAGGGACTTCTCTGCCTCTAGCCCCATTAGGTTATGGAATACAACTTCTCTGGTGATGGTGATGGTAGTTAAGTCCTCCCTCTGTATTCTTTAGTCTTAATGGGACCTTCAAAGTATCTTCCACTGTTAAGACTGATGCAAAATATTTGTTTAACTACTCTCTCATTTCCTTGTTCCCCAAAACCATCTCCCCCCGATTCATTTTCTAAGAGGCCCATGTGCACTTTGACCTCTCTCTGCCTTTTTATATTTTTAAAGAAGCTTTTTCTGTCAATTTTATATTCCTTACTAGTTTGCCTTTGTAGTTTATTTTCTCTCTCTTTATTATCTTTTTAATCCTCCTTTGCTGGATCCTGAATTTATCCCAGTCTTCGGGGCTATCACTGACTTTTGCCTCCTTCTTTGGATTTTTTTTCAAATTAATACTCTCCTTAGTCCGCTCTTAGAATCTATCCTCCTTACTGGGATCTAAGGTTTTGGAGTAGATTTGTAGATACTGGGATCTATTTTTACTGAGGGTCACGAACTACCTCCTTAAATGTCTGTCACTGCTTGCTTACTGTCATTCCTGCTAAATTAGCTGCCCAGTTCACATTAGCTTACACTATCCTTTTATCATTATAATTCACTTTATTTACTTTAACCACAATTGTTTCCGAAGCAAGTTTCTCACTCTTGAACTGAAAATTCAATTCTGTCATATTATGATCTCGACCCCCTGGCGGATCTTATACTCTGAAAAGACATGCTGCAATTTAAAGTTGCAGATGTTCTTAGACGATATGTGGTTATGATACAGGATTATCACAAGATCAATTATCTCAGTTCCAGGACATCTCTACAGAAATTCCTCAGGGTAGATATTTTTTAATTACTAATTTGTTTAGGAATGTTATTACACACTGCTGGGGTAGTGAGGCCTTCTGGCTTAGAGATAAGGACACACCACTGCACACCAACTATCCTAGTTACTGTCCTAGGCCCAACCATCTTCCGCTGCTTCATCAATGGCCTTCCCTCGATCACAAGGTCAGAAGTGGAATGTTTGCCAACTATTGCACAATGTTCAGCACCATTCATGAATCCTCAGATATCAAAGCAGTCCATGTTCAAATGCAACAAGATCTGGATAATATCTGGGCTTGGTTCCTAAGTAGCAAGGAACATTTACACCATTCAAATTCCAGGCAATGACTATCTCCTAATGAGACAACCTAATTACTGCCCTATAACATTCAATGGCATAACCATCACTGTATCCTTCACTCTTTACATCCTGAAGATTACTACTGACCAAAAATAGAACTGGACTAGACATATAAATACAGTAAGCTACAAGAGTAGGTCAGGGGCTAGGAATACAGCAGCGAATAACTCACCTCCTGACCCTCCAAAGCCTGTCCACCATCTACAAGGCACAAGTCAGGAGTGTGATGGAATACTCCCCAACAGCCTTTATGGTGCAGCCGCAACAACACTCAAGAGGCTTGATAACATCCAGAACAAAGCTGCCTGCTTAACTGGCACCACATCCACAAACATACATTCCCACAACCCCCAATGCTCAGTAGCAGCAGTATGTACTATCTATAAGACTCACCAACGTTCCTTAGACAGCACGTTCTAAACAGACAACCATTTCCATCTAGAAGGACAAAAGCAGCAGATACATGGGAACACTACCCCTGCAGGTTCCCCACCAAGCCACTCACCATCCTGGCTTGGAAATATAATTGCCATTCCTCCGGTGTCGCTGGGTCAAAATCCTGGAATTCCCTTCCTAAGGGCATTGTGGGTCAACCTACAGCACATGGACTACAGCAGTTCAAGAAGGCAGCTCACCACAACCCTGAGTGAATGAAACAAAGAATATAGAGTATGATTCGAGCAGAGGCAATTGTCAGAGATTGAATCGAGATGTTCAGCCTAGAAGGCCTTTGACGGTATAACTAAGGAGAAAGAGCTTCCATTGGCTGAAGGGTCAGTAACCAGATGAATACAGATTGAAGGTGAATGAAGCAGATACGACCTTGTGGAGGAAAGCTTACCCAATGATTTGTTGTGATCTAGAACATTCTGCCTGAAAGGGAAGTGACAGTTGATTAAATGATACCTTTGAAAATAGAACTGGATAAATATTGGATTGGGAAAGTTAGCACTGTGATGCGGATTGATAGGAGAATGGGAATATATGGGCAGCACATTTTCACACTTCACTGCGGTCGTGCAGTAGAAATTAAACTCTGCACAAAGTTATAGATTTATCAAATTGGCAAATTCCCCGATTGCCCTCTTTCAAGACCCAGGTGAACAGAAAACACAGACCAGATTTCTGTGCTTAACAAGGTTTGCTATTGATTCCATACTAATAGATTCTAACCACAGGTAACTAACTATGAACTCTCAACAGATAACACTGTAATCTAAAACTCCAACCCCTTTAGAAACCCAGCCACTTACACAAACTCACACAGCCATAAACAGAGAGGTGCACAAATAGACCCAAAAAAAAGGTGTCATTGACAAAGGAAGAAAACCTGAGGCAGCAGTCCAATGCCTCCAGTCCACAAGATTCACTGTGACAATCCTTTTCCATGCCAGAACATTATGTTTCTCAGTCTCTTTTCACTTCTTTACAGAAGGCACAGAGCAACTGATCTGCAAACTGCAAAGTCCCTTAGTTATTAAGTTTCAAGGTCTCAACTTCCGCAACTGATATGCAAACTTAAACTGGCTTTCCTCAGGCTTGAGGTACTTTTTTAACTCCAGAGACACACTACCTCCCCTTCCTGAGCTCTGAAGGCTTCTGCCAGCATTGTTCACAACCACAAGCTGCTCAGCTCCCCAGAGAGAACACAAATGGGTCTCCTTCTGTGCTGCACGATTCTATGATTTGATTAAGTCGTGTTGTTAAGGTGGAAATCTGGATTTTGTGTGTAAGGTTGATGTTGCAATCTTGCTCGTAACGTAAATCCAATCTCTACAGTAACAGGGCACCCAGTGTTGTCTGATTTCTCATCATTGTGCTATTCCTCACTGCAGGAAATGTCAGCAAAGTCTGACAAGCAATCCCAGCTCCCAGACGAAGGGCAAATTTCTAACTACTTTCAACTGATGGTGCAGTCCTAGGTTAATGTGGAAAAATTTCTGTTACCAACGATTGCATGTGTCACTAATTTAAGTGACCTAGTGCGACAGGTTAGAAAGATAAATGATGTTAAACTGAAGCAAAGCAATACAGACAAGAAATCCCTGTTTCCAAATCCAGAGTCATTCAAGAGTTGCCTGATGAAGCTTTGCAATGAAACTGTAAACTCACTTGATGAGACCAGCAATAACTTGTTTAAAATCCGGAACAGTTGTAAGGGTATTACTAACCATCTGGAGAACTTTCTTAAAGCACAAGCGTCAAATCAACCCTCTGACAAGCAGTTGAACAGCATTCGGACTTGTGCAATTCGATGCAAGGAAAAAGCAGATTCAGTGGAACAGAAGCTCTTCAGTCTGAGTGGTCTTTACAATGAGCTCCTGGTGAGGTGTGCAGATTCCCAGATTGCCAGTCAGGATAAACTGAAAGAAATAAGGGAACTCCTGGGAAAAGCCAGTGAAAGGAATAAGGCAATAAAGAAAGCAGAGAGTGAGTTAGACAATGAATGGAGTCAGGTTTCCCAAGGACGTGAGGAAGTCCTCAATAAATATGCAGATGTGAGCTCCAGTGCTCACGTTGATGAGTTTTGTGTGGAAGGTCTGAAGAAAATGAAGGA